GCCCCATCTAGTCTGGGAACACTTCCAGGAATGGAGCATCCACAACTTCTCTGAGCAACCTGTTCCAGTGTTTCACCACCCTCACAGTAAAGAATTTCTTCCTAATATCTCATCTAAATCTAACCTCTTTCAGTTTGAAGCCATTATTCCTTGTCCTATCACTACATGCCCTTGTAAAATGTCACTGTCTAGCTTTTTGTAGGCCCTTTTTTGGTACTGAAAAGCTGCTATAAGATCTCCCCATAGCCTTCTGTGCTCCATGCTGAACAACCTTACCTGTCTCCGCCTGTCTTCATAGGAGAGGTGCTCCAGTCCTCTGACCATGTTCATGGCCCTCCTCTGGACTTGCTCCAACAAGTCCCTGTCCTTCTTGTGTTGGGGGCCCCAGACCTGGACACAAGTACTCCAGACTGGGTCTCATGAGAGCAGAGTAGAGGGGGAGAATCACCTCCCTTGACCTGCTGGCCACGCTGCTTTTGATGCAGCCCAGGACACAGTTGGCTTTCTGGGCTATGAGCACACTTTGCTGGGTCAGGACCAGCTTCTCATCCACCAACACTCAGAAGTCCTTCTACCCAGGGCTGCTCTCAATCCATTCTCTGTCCAGCCCATACTTGTCCTTGGGAGTGCTCCGAACCAGCTGCAGCAACTTGCACTTGGCTTTGTTGAACTTCATGAGGTTCACACAGCCTCCCCCACCTCTCAAGCCTGTCGAAGTTCCTCTGGATGGCACCCCTTCCCTCCAGCGTGTCAATTGAACCACACAGCTTGGTGTTGTCAGCAAACTTGCTGAGGGTGCACTCGATCCCACTGTCCATGTTACTAACAGAGATATTAAACAGCATCAGTAACAATACTGTCCCCTGAGGAATGCCACTCACCACTGATTTCCACCTGGCCATTGAGCCATTGAACACAGTTCTTTAAGTGTGACACATCCCTATCCACTGAATGATCCACCCATTAAATCCATGTCTCTCCAGATCAGAGACAAGAGTGTTGTCTGGGATTGTATCAAATGCCCTGCACAGGTCCTGGTAGGTGACATCAGTTGCTCTATTTCAAAAAGACCTGGTGTGGTGCCCTCTGTTTTGAAAATAAATGTTATACTGTTGGATTGAGAACATCAAAGTCTAAAAATTTCTTTTCAAAGAGGAATAATACCACTGAGTGGAGATGCTTTAAGAACTGGATTAATTGTATTTGTTGCAGGAGAGCAATAACAAATAAAACTCTTCTGCTAAAAACTGCATATGCAAGAGCTAGGCATCTTTAAGACTCATGGAATTGTTATTAACAATGTTAATTTTTCTTTAGAAAGAAAGTTCTTTTGATAAACTAGAAATGAAGCAGAATATCCTAAGCAGAAGGTCTGTACTGTGGAAGATACTCGTTCTAGACTCAAAAGGGATTTTATTTTGTTAAAACATAGTGTAGATATTTTGAGAGGTGGCTTTTACATCAAAGAAGACACTGTATATTTATTATATTTATTTCTTCATTCTTACCATTGTGCTGCTGCAGATTACCATAGAGATAGAAGATGGGGACAGAAATCTAAGATAACTATGTAAAGGATGGTTTTAATAATCCATGCTAATTAAAAAAAAGCATAATAATACTATCTAAAATATAATAAGTATTAATAAATTACATTGTTATTACATTGTTAATCATGTTTCATTTAATCCTAGAGTGCCAGACCTTTCTTGCAATCAGAGAGTACATTGTTTTTCCAGTTCCCTTCAAAAACCAAGCTAGTGACAGAATGATGTTCCATTTGAGAGAATCTGTGCTACCATCAACAGCCCCTCTCTAGATTTGTTGCTGATCAGAGATAGTAGTTGTGGCTCTGGAGCTTTTGTGAAGGATTGTGGAAGCATGTTCAGACCAATTATTTCATTGTTCCAGCACTCTTCCAGCATAGAGGGTCATTACACTCAAAAGTAGAAACAAGTGCCCTGAATCTGTCTGTGTGATTCAGCAGACAGCTGAGTGGGCTGGATAGTTGTGGTGCCTGATCAAATTTCAGCACCCTTAATTACTTTTAAAAGGGAGGATTTTTTAAAGACATAAAATTGGCAACTGGCTACCTAACTAATTCCCACTGTAAACCTCATCCATGAGCCTTAGCTGATGGTGGGAAGCAAACTTCTCACCCCTTTATTTGGAATGGTTAGTAAGAGTGGTAGGAGTGTATAGTTGTCGGTCATAGTATGATATAAAACTGTGGCAAATGTTGTCTGTGAGAAACAGCTGCTATAAGAGAAAGGGTGAAGCTCCTTTATTACTCCTTCATTTCTGGTGGATATGCCTTTGACATCGGAAGACCTTTCCCAACAAAGGAAGGAGAATATTTTTAACAGTCCCCTTCTTATCTACTGCTCAGTGTCTTGAGGCAGAGCAATGATGACACACCCTTAAAACTTCCATTCTCTACATTCATCATTGTGCAGAGTCAGGCTTTAAATGCTCTAAACGGAGAAAAGTCAGAAATAGTTGTTCATAGTAACATATATTCTAACAAAGCCATGGGATTTAAGGTTGAATAAACTAGATGTGTCAGTTTTTGTGGTGTTAGAGTTTTTTTGGTGATTAGGATTTGATGGAAAAGAGTTACAGTTTGAAGAATTGACTAAATTGTCAGGTTAAAAGTTTTTAGTGTATAGACATTTTGGCTACACCTGTGAATGTTTTGTCTAAAACTGAACCATTGCTGTTTCCATTTAGAGTAGTTTCATGGAATGGGCTGTACCTTTGTCTCTAGTATTGGGTGATTTTACAATGACATTTTCTTATTTAGAGTATATAAAAATAAAATTTCTATTTTCTCTATTATGTTGTATGAAAGCCACAGACAAAAAGCTGAAGATAACTATATGAAGTACAGAGAGCAAAATCAGATACTTGTCACAAATAAGTGACAAGAGAGTTTTCTTTTTGAAAAGTGCTGTCTGCATACTAGCAATTACATGAACTGGAGATAGCAACCATCACTACCACTACTTTTTAGAAATTGAACTATTTTAATACTTTATAGAAATTTAACTATTTTAAATTGGTGGTATATTACTTGAAAGTAAAGTAACTGACAGTAAACTATTTGACTACTGAAAAGTCAGGAGTCTGCGAAGGGCTAAGAAATTAACAGAAATCCTAAATACTCCTGTATAATGACGATGACAATATCTCTAGTTGCAATTTCAGCATTCTGGATTAAGGGTTTGGTGGTTGTGGGGTTTTTTTGGTTTTGTTTTTTTTTAATGTTATCCTAAATACACAAGGGTTTGAATTTTTTGAGGAGCTGCTTTCTGAAAATTGGAGTCCATATTATTCCACTAAAAAAATTACCTCACTCTTGTGATTTTCTGTCTACTGCACGCTGCAAATCCCCCCTCCTCTCAAGTTCAGCCATGATATCCTGTGAGTTTGGCAACTGCAAAAAAAAATTGGTAAGAGATGGGCACACACTAACTGTGTGGTGCAGTAGAGTCTTGGAAGGAAATAAGAAGCATTTTTACACCCAATGTTTTATGGGTTATTTATCCTGGTCTCTGCTAATGGAGTTGTGTTATCAGTGACTAAAAGAGTACTGTTAATAATAATGAGGCTCAAGACATAACAGAAAGATCTGTGTGGCTGACAGTGTGGTAAATACCACCTCCAGAAGACTCACCATGCCAAGATTGCTGTAATAAGCTCCTGATAAAATTTCTTCCCCAGAATCCTTTTTTTTTCCTCTTGATGACCCATTAGAGAGAGAGAGAGCTAAAAATAGTTTGCAGGTTTAATTCCATGATTGCAAAAATAAAAGTTTTCTAAATGTGTAAAATTTTATTTTGCCAACGTGTCTTCAGAAACTGCTAACTCTCTGCTTGTCTAAGAAATACAATTAATTTTGGTTTCTTGCTACTGTTTCCTATTTAGTAAAGAAGAAATTTGAGGCATTCTGGTCAATTCAATTACTCAGTTTAGTCTTGTCTAAATTCAAAATAACTTCTGGCAAGCAGTGTGATTTACAGCACATACAAACAAAAAGCATTTTACAAAAAACACTCATTTAAAGTATGGATGTTTTTCAGTTTTATGTGCTTATATGTAACATTGAAGTGTGTGGTCTTCCTGTGCATGGATATGTCTCCACTTTAGTTTCACCACCAGGAGAAACTTGTCCTTGGTTTTTGAAGCTCTAACCTGGAAATGTTTCTTATCGAACCTCGTAGGAATCTGGGAAATGCTTTGTTTTCAATGTATCTGAATTTTCAACATGATAGCATTAAATGTATAATTACTTGATAACTACTTGTGATATGACATGTGCAGACCTATTAAAAATTCTGAGACCAGCTGTGTATATTTAATGTTCTACAGGATTATCATACTTAAAAGACTTAGATGACATGATGGAAGAAAGTATAGGAAAGACATGGGCAGGTATCAGCAGAAAGGACAAGAGCAAATATACAAGTTCTTTTTCAGAGGATTTAGAAAAATTGTTTTGGATTCTTTTGGGAAATTTTACTTTATGTTCCAAAGTTCCACCTGTTTTTATAGAATCATTTCTACATTGTACTACGGAGAAAGATAAAAGAGTCATGTCCATATTGCCCTCTAGTTGCAGCAAGATGTGTTATGCATGCTGGTCAGGGTGAGATTTGCATAATAAGGTATCCATTGGTAAATACAATGTTGCTAATTTAGTTTCAGAAAGCAGGTAGAATTGCACTTAACCTTCTTGTCACTTTACTGGCACATCTGCTATTTTCATTTCCGTAGTTTTTTAAAAACTCATTTTGGTAATATTGCAGCTGATATAAAAGTATATTGTTTCCAGGCAATTTCACTAGTGGAACTAAATATGACACATTGTGTGGTACAGCAGCATGCAGAGAACAATATGTAAACTTTTCAGATTAAACCTTACTTTTCCTTACTGTAGTAGAAGACATTATAGAAAGCATGTTTCTAAATTTTTTTTTTCCAATCTGTTTCATTTTCAGGCATTGCTGTTTCTGATGAACTTGAGAAGGTAAGATTGATAAGGTATACCTAATGAACAGTACACAGAGACAGTTGATTGTGATAATTTTAGGCAATGAGAGCTGTATCTCCCTGTCCTGGCATACAGACTTCAGTTCTGTTGGGTTCAGAGGAAGTTTAGGTATGGAAAGCTGTGTAAGTAGAGTATATGTGGATACATCAAGAGCTTGACTGGAAAGCGCTGTCAAGTATGGAAAAAAACTCTCACTGAGTTTGAGAGACTCTCAATGAGGCCATGGAAATACTTTTTAATCATGACACCATCTTTGCTTAGTACAGTCTGTTGGGTTACTTTTTATACTTTTGGAAACATTTAGCCTTAAATACCTTTTATTCATGAAGTCACAAATCCTGCATTCCCAGATATGATTTGTGAAAATATTTAGGAATTATTTTTGCTTCTAGATTTGATCAGGAATGCACAGGGCATAAAAATCAGTCTTTACCTCCTTGTTGAATGCCACAAACAATGATCTCTTCTCCTCAGTCCCTTTTGATACATTACACAGTTAATATGAATTTTAGTTTTAGCTGTAATAAACTCTACATTGAAAGAGTAATCAAGCTAATTTTTCGAATTACCAAAGGAAACAGAGCGCCTTTATCTTCTCTATTCTCACCTGTGAACAGCAGTATGCTTCAGGTGCCAAGAATCTTGGGTTGTGTTCTTGGTGTCGGAAACAATTGCTGTCAGGGAAATGAGATCANGACTAATGCTTAATATAGAACACATTTTTTAAAAAAATATTTTTCCTTTCTGCTGGTAAAATGAGGACACAAATCTTTCTGACAAGTGCATATAAAATACCTCCACTGCGTTCTCCAAGGAAGGCCAGTTAGACAAGACTGATCACTGTTACCATGTAGTCGTGAGCATATGTGGCTGCCATTTCAAAACTATGGCTTAAGTCTTCTTTCCTACTATTTTCATAACTGTGTTCAGAAGTGATGATAAAAATGATTGGAAAGCCTTTCCATTAGAACCCTTACCTTTAAGAATACTTATGAAAAACTCCATTTAATTTTGTTTGTTGAAAAAAACTATAAAATACTGTTTGTGGGAGGAAAAGGCATTTTGGGCTAGAGCCTGTTATCAACACTTTTTACATCTATTTTTAGGATATAATTTCTGTTAATTTTTTTAAACTATAATATTGCTCAAAAACATTAATGGTTTTTATATTTAATTATTCAGTGTGAAAACTGAGGTGGGGAACATAATTTGGGGCTTTCCTCAGGATCCACACTGAGCGAAGAGATAATTTTTTTTTGGTTACTGTTTGTTTACTTAATTGTTTATAGTTTAAAATTGAAAGGTATATCCATTTATTAATGCATCATTTAAAAAGCTTGGTATTCCTATTTTCTGATATGGATTTTGAGGGACCTTCCATCATGAGAAGTACTTTTGGGTATTTCTGAATTTTTGAAACAAAACTTGGAATTATGGTATGTACATTCAGTAGCATGCGTTACCTGACACCTTTGGAATACTGCATCTGCTTTAATGTATGTTTCCGATGAGGACAGGTAAATAGAACGTTCTTGAAGTCAGAAACTATTTGTAAAATAAATGAACCCCCAAACAATTAAGCTCTTGACATGTGTCATTTGTGCAGCATTGCTCAACAGGCTTTCAGCACAGACTTAGAGGAGTGATTTTTCATCTCCACGGGCTTTAGTGATCTTCATTTTTATTTCTTGTTTGGACCCTTAGGGATTTTTAATGAACATAAAATCTAGTTCTGTCTTAAGAATATAAGCATAGCTAGGACCATTTTGTGGAGTCCTGCCTCCTAGGAATGATTCCTAGGAAGCTAATTCCTGACATGTTCCTGTGACTTGTTTCTGCATGTATTACTTGGCTTGAACCAAAAGCAGCCAAAGACTACCTGATAATGGTTGTTTTAAAGTTAAAGAGAATGTGTTCTGAATGTGTTCACAGGTGATGTTTATTTTTCAGATATAAATGTAGCCAAGTTGTAATTCCTATACCAGAAATAAATGCTGATACTAGAACTTCTTGTCTAGGCTGTGGCAGCATTGAATCATTTTTTGAAACCACATTCATCTGTGGTTTGGATTAACCATTTAACCCATTGGGTGCATGTCATGGGTCTAGAATAGCATGGCCAAACTTGGCATTGGATTCTGTTAAAACATTGACATTGCATAGGTGTTATGAGAGACATAAAACTAAACACAGTAATAAACTTCTATACACTCTTCCTTGCTTTATTTTCCTGATGATCTGGAATATCTGGGGGACTAGAACAGAGCCCATAATCCTGATGCTTTGTCTGTGGTTTAAATTATGAACCTGGAGAAAACAGAGAATACATGTGTATATTCCTCTATTTTTTTTCCTCATTGTGTATTTTTTTAAATTACTTCTTTCTGGCTTTAGTAACGCAGCTGCCTTCATCAGGGGAGTACTTAATCAGTATTGTTGGTTGATGTAAGTCCTTCTCCAAGTAATCCAGTTAGTTAGTTAGTTGCTTAGTTACTCGAGCATTTGGATTTGGAAAAACAGTTTGGTCTGAATTACAATGACTTTTGTAGAAGGGTGTTTCATTTAAATGGACTCGTGTCAAATATCTGCTTTTATTAGCTTTGTATCAGTACTTAGGGCTTTAGTCTGAGAGAGAGAAAATACAGGCAGACAAGGTCAGTCTTTCAGTCAAAATGGAATCTTTCAGTTTGACTTAGTCTCATAAAACTTGCAAAAAAAAAAAAGTCCTATAATGACTGCATTTAAAACAGACTTATTGTATAGATTCCCTTCTTTTTCATCTCAGTTACTTCAGACTTGCAGTGTTTGTTCTCTCTCTCTTGACTCAGCCTACATCTCTAGGCCATAGAAGCTATGTAAAATCAGAGACTAGCACTCAAGTAGGCTGTGTAAGGAAAGGAAATAAGAAAGGATGCTTTGTGATTCACGTATTTTAAAACTAAAGTGCAGAGTTAATATAATACAAATTTCTGAATTGACTCACCCTCCATACCACTGAACAGAAACTGTTGAAGAGCTTTAGGAAACTACACACTTTCATGCATAATGTGAAGAGTTTAATGTAAACAAAGGAGAGCTAGGAAGTTAACCTTTCTTTGAAATTCACAGAATTCTAGGGTGAAAAAAAATTCTCACAAAAAACAGTGATGGGAGAGACCTGCCATAAATTGTGAAATTTATCCCAAATACCCAATGATGTTTTTCAAACACTTTAATCTAAGTGTTAGAGATCCACAAGGAAACTCAAGGGAAGATCAAAAAATTTATAGCAGATTTTGACCCTCAATGTTAATATTAAAAAATATTCTGTGCTGTCTAGCGTATACTTTCTTCTCATATGTAATGTTACTTCAGTGAACACAGATTAATAGAATAGATGAAACAACTGTTCTTATGTCATAAAACCAAAAACATTTCTTCTCACCTAAAAGTATTTCTAATGATGGAAATTCCCTTAAAATCCATATCAGAAAATAGGAATACCAGGCTTTTTAAATGATGCATAAATAAATGGATATAAAAATGTTTCGCTCTCTGGTAGAGGTTGCATTCAGCAACCACAACTCAGCCCAATGTGAAGATGAGATTCAACTGTCTTGCAATCTTTCCCTTCTTTTCCTAGTCTCCACATAAAGGAAGGTTGAGTGTGTCAAACTGGTAGCCAGTGATGTGGATAAGAGGATAACACGTGGACTGCTCCGTGAAATAGTGCTCTCGGTTCATTTATTGCAGATTTAAATACCTACCTGTCCTGAAAATATTTCTGTGCCCACTAATGTCACTGTCAATCTCTTGTTATTTATGGGGGAATATAGATTGGAAATCAATTAAGATTGTAAGATTTATATGAAAAAAAAGAAACCAACCAAAAAAACCCCAACCCAAAACTATAAAAACTTGTTAGAGAACAGAATACTTCATCTGAATTTATTGCAGCCTTTGAAATAGTGCCAAAGAAACATCCTCATGTTCTGAATAGAGCTGTCTCTGATTCTCCATTTACTGTTTTCACTGTGGCTGCTTATATAGTTGAAAGGAGGACGATAAATTAGGTCACTGAAACTGTGGTGTACTAATCTAACATGATGCAAAAAGTAAAGCAAGGTGATAAAGTAAGGCAAAGCATGACTATGTAATGTAAATTACATTTCTATTAAGTAAAGTATGAAACTGCTACTTTAATCCCTAAAATGCCTAGGAAAGAAATTAGCATAACAAGGACAGTTGCAGCATTCATGGTTTACTTATTCATATGTTGATGGTGTAGTGTACAGTGTCAGAAAAAACTTAAGGTACTGACAAAAGGATACATTTTTAGGTGCTTTTCATTTTCACTTAAGACGCTGAAAGCTTTTAGCAAGATGGACACTAAGATATTCTGACTTTCAGGAACCATTTTTTATTCATTATTAGAAATTATCTTAGGGAGAAAGAGAAGGAAGCAAATAGCTAGAATAGAAGGAATAAACCTCAGAAAGGTTGTGGGCAATCTTAATGAAGGCATTGTGGGCAATCCTTTTTCTAAGCTCATAATCATATGATGGTAGTCACACCAGTGACAGTTTATGCTTGTCAAGAGCCCAAAGGTGACTGTCATGTAATCTACCTGACCTGACTATGACACAGCTCCAAATAAATGCACAAAATGTATATTTGTAAGTACATAAGAACAGAACAGCACTGGCTAGATATCCTGATATCTCCAAAGCTGTGGTGTTTTCCTCAGATTTCTCTCTTCTGTATGGTCTGTATTCAATTTTCAGTGGTCCTTGCAGAAAACAGACATCATGTAAAAGTGAATTAGTCAAATGATGGACAACTCTGTAGAGAGGAATGTGGTAATGCACTCACAGGCACATTGCAGAAAGCAGAACAAAACAACAAGGTTGAGTGAATTGGATCCAGGGCCTGGGTCGCATTTGTTTCTGTCAAAATAGAAGCTCTTGGAGTTCTGCTCAGAAAAATTACAGCATCTAGCCAGAGCTAGGTAAATATATTCATATTAAAAGTAGTTTGCAGCCTTTTTTGGTTTTTTGTTTCTTTCATTTCAGTAGAGGCCTCTACTTCAAACTGTGCTTTTACCGTATCTGTTTCAATTAGGAAGAGGCTTCGAAAGTGATTCTTTTTTAGAAAGGAGAGAAAATATGGTTTCTATGCTAAATAATTGCTGTGCTGTACATTTTCCAGATGCTTTTTGTTTGGAAAGCATTGTTTCAAGGCAGAAATACTTATTGAGGCACTGAGGTCGATAACAGCCGTGGATTTTTTTCCTAAAATTTTCTCTCGTAAAATGATAGGAATAGAATATGTCTCTTCTAATTAGGAACAGTGTGTTTGAAATGTCTTCGCTAACCTAGAAAAGAATTTAGTAAAATTAAAATAAATATTCCTATCCCATAATTTCATATCTTTTTCTTTGGTATACAGGTCTATTTTTTAGTTTGACTGTGCTTTTGTTATATCTCCTGGAATTTTGTTAATGGGAAACTTTCCATTAGTCTATCATTGTTTCAGGGTATTTTGTAGCCCTCTGAAGTGATAATGTACTGTACTATTCTTGTACTTTTTTAGTGAATTTTTTTTTCATCTTTTCTTTCTCTATTTACACCTATGGTTAAGAACAAACAGTGCATTGGTTTTTTTATTATTTTTTTTTCCCTTTAGGACACAACAGGTTTTAACACCCCCCTTCTCAGACCTCGTGTGATTGGAGAATGGGTTGGCCGTGAAGAAAATGATGCAGACCCTCTGGCTGCTGAGATGCTACAGCCACCAACACCAAGAAATAAAAATGAGCAGTGGGACAGTGAGGATAGCAGCAGTCCTGGAGGAAGGTGGGATTTTGGTCCAGCCTAGAAAAATTATATTTTGTGAAACAGAGCTGTCTTTTTAACACAAACTCCATTTCTCAATTCCCATGTCGTACTGCAGCAGCATGCAGAATAAATGGAAGTCATTAATATGTGACTGATTTCTTCTCATGCTTTTATATATGATTAACTTCATACTTATTTGCAATCACATTAATTAATTCCCATGTATAAAGCTAAGGTTATATTGGCATGACTGGGGTCCAGCGTGTAATAATTTTGCAAGGTATAGCTTTGTTCAGATACTTCAAACCCTTCCATCTTTCCACAATTGGTAGTTGGTATTTGTTACTCTTCTTGACACTTCAGTGATAAACCTGATTTTCTCATCTAAAGAAAAGATGGACAAGGGAAACAGTATCTATGTTATTTTTATCAGGACTTCCTGAATTTATCTTCTTTTCATATACCTAGCATTTTGGTGTCAATAACAGGTCTTTCTCAAAGAGAAAATTGTGTTCTCTGCAGTAAATAACTTCTGAAGATTTATTGTGCTTGTCTGAGAATGAAGGAGTATGTTTGTTTGTTAATGTGCTTCAGCTACATGAAAGAGATTATCATTTTTACAAGGAGTCCATTTTCCATGATTTAAAGATACCGGTTTATCACAGAAGTTAAATACTCACAGCTTTTCTTTAAAAGGAATTAATGCCTATTTTTTTAAGTGTAAATCTTGTGCACTGCCTCTGTTAATTGGCTTAATCACCTACTTTTCTCCCTCAGCCCTGTGGCGTTTCTCCTTGGTTATAACTAGTACGCTGACTGCAGCAGACACCTTTTTCTTCCTCTTTTAAGAAGGCAGAAACTATCTGCTTTCATTTTGAAATATCTAAGGTATTCCTTCACTGTGTCCTCCATGTGCCTTCTCCATTGGAATTTACCTCCCTGTCAGAAGGAGACTAGTCTGTCACTAGGTTTACTCTTAAAGGCTGCATTCATTAACTTTCCTCACATGTTTGTAATGTTTGTTATCCATGAGTACTTCATTTAATTAGACTGTTGTGGGGAAAGCTGCAAGTACTACTATTTCAAAGTAACAGCATGTAGTAACGATCCCTCAGCCAGACATTGGATGGGAACCAACACAACTCAGACACTGGATCTCTCCAGTGCGATTCCTGGGAAAGTAATGGAGTCAGCAATGGGCGCTGCAGCTTGATTGTGCAGGCCTGTGTTTCTTTTTCCTTATTCAGCAGCCAATAAAGACACCGAATAAAGATCTGTTCCACATTGCAGAGAGAATTGAGGATATTGTATCCTTTCTGTCAATAGGAAGGAGCAGAAATAAGCATCTCTGTCTAATCTCCAAAAGGGATCAACGAGGTTAGTTCTGAGTAACAAAGATGATTCAAAGCAACGCATTTTTCTCTTTGTAGAGGGTGGTACAAGATGTGAGAAACCTCACAGCTAATGCTATAATTAAAAAATATGATTAATGGCTTTGAGAATAGCATTTGAGAAGTCTTGTTGAGTATCATGGCAAAATCACATTGCCTGTCATATGAACAAGGAAAAACTCATGGGGTACTGAAATCTCTGGTTTTTAGGTGCGGTAAATGCTAAAGACCTATTGAAAAATATGTATCGTGGGAGTACTGATTTTCAGTGGAAATTAATAACTACTAGATTACATACAGCATATGGATTTACATTTGGATGACTGATTTTATGTCTGAGATAATTCTTGGTTCGTTAGCATTTCATCAGCTTTTGTAAGGCATTTATAAAAAACATGTTTGCAAGTCTTGCAAAAGAATAAATAAAGTTGCAGGACTTCAAGGTAGTGGTGCTACTAAGATTGATGCCAACTATATATGGAAGTTTAAAAGACCTGTGTTGATCAAGGTTAATCTGAATATTTAATAATAGTTCACTAATAACTGGGAGTTGCTTCAAGGTCTAATGCAGTATTCCTGTGAGTTAAAGTGCTATTAGCAGAATTTGGAATTGAGCGTATACCAAATGTGTGAGATAAGTATTAGATAACAATAACTTCATTTTAATGTAACATCCAAAAATAGTGGGAAGAGTATAAATTTTACAAGATTAAGTGAAACTCTCAAATGAGTGAAGTTCTCAGTTGTAAAGAATTTTTGGCTACCTCGTCTGTATTTCATTCACCACTTAGTAGTTAATGTAGCCTAAAATAATTCATTTATACTTTTACCTGGCAAATGAAAGCAGGAGCAATTGGAAATTTACATTAAATGTTTCCAATTGTGTCTTGTTAAATTTTATGTAACAACACTTTAAATAAGAAGTGATAGTTTAAGGATCACTATTTATCAAAATTTATGTGATAAGCCAGCAAATTCTTTAAACTAATCCTAATAATCAGTTAAAGTATAAGAACAAGAAAGTGAAAACTGAAATTGTCCCATTATTTCCAGATAATGTTTTCTTTACCTGTCACTAAACGTAAGGAAATGCTACAAAAATAAAACATTATGTAAATATCCAGAAGATTAGGCGTTGGCAGATCACTGGTCAAGTAACTGCCATCAGTGTCATGTGACACATGTTGTTTTCACAGACCATAGAGTACAAGCTTTTTGGGGAAGCCCTGGGTCCTTACACATTCATTGCATTCTGTAAAGGATGGAATGGACTGCAGGAAGCAGCATATTCCTATGGATCTGTTGATAACATCGATAACATGCTCATTTACAGTATTCGTCTTTTCAACATAAAGCAGATCGTAGTGAATATACGTAGTATGTAATATTTGGGAATTTGTAAGTTGTCTGATTTTCTGTCTTTGCAACCATGATCCTCGTTTTTTGTTCTATTCAGTAGTGCACAGTGGGAAAGAACCACTATTTCCTCCGTAAAAACATACATTCCTGTGATGATGAGCAACAGAAGCAGACATGTTGTGTATTTGAAAGCCGGGTTCAGTTACTCAAGAAAAGAAATTAAAAAAAGGAGCAACTGAAAGGACAGATGTCACTAATGTTTTGCCTGGAAAAGATGGTGTGGCCAGTTTGAGTTGCCATGTTAGGATTGCCTCAGAGGAAAGACTGTGTTTGTTACTGGTTTTGTACTGCTCTCTGTTGCTCCTGTAAGGAAGCAAGGCAAGGTATTAGTAAGTGATAAGAGACCATGGAAAAGTGCTGATGGCAATCCTGCTGGTACTGAGCTCATGTTTCAGAAATTCGAACACCGTGAAAATAGGATTAAACTCATTTTCAAGTCACAGTTGGTAGTTTTCTACATGAAAAATTTTTTGGAGGAATTCTAAGATGCAAGGCTCTTGGGAATCTTCCTCAAGGGATAATGTATGTACACAGTGGGGAATCTGAGTGTTTTTTAATATGATACTCTTTTCTCTTAGAGCCTGAAATGAACTAGAGCTTGCAGAGGCCCCATTCATAACCTGATGCCCTAAACTCAAAGGCCATTCTTCATCTCCAAGGTCCACTTTGCCTTATTAGTGTTTATCTTTGCTGGGGAAATGAACTATTGTTGATTATACTAAATTTCATACGTTGGCTACAGATGGGCCTTGCTGCAACAGACTATAAAAACAATCTGGGGTGGTGTTGATACTCTCATGTGGAGCACCAAATTTCTGTTTGTTGTTTTTATATTGTAAGAAATCAGAAATGGCAAATGGTAGCAAGTCCTGCTTTAGACTGTTCTGCTAACTTCTGCGCATTTCCAGTTCTCTGTTATTTAGGTTAGGGATACAACTCAGCAAATTATGAGAATTGTTATAAATATATAGCCCTTAATTCTGTGGGGTCATGGTAACATAACCACTCAAGGGAGAAGTTCTTTGTTGTCAACTTTGTTGCTATGTGATCAATGCCTTAGCAATACTGATTAGTAGTTGATGTCATGTTGCTCTATATATGTAGCTTATTTAGACTTGATTAATGCCCATAAAGTCAATGGGAAATCTACCAAATTCAGTCAAGACTTTAAATAGGAACTGCAAACACAAACTGTCTTAGAACATCCAATGATTGGGGAATGAGTGATAACCAGTTGGTTTATGTGTGATCTGATGGTGTTAACCTTCATATCTGGAAGACATCATGGACTACAGTAATTTGACAAAATTGTGACAAATTTTGAAGAGAGCACTAGTAAGAGAAAGTTGTGCTTTCCTCTCTCACAGCTTAAAAATGGAGCCAAAGACCAAAGGACTAAAACATCAACAGCAGCAACATAAGAAACTGCTGGCTGCCATGCTTTCTCAGGACTCCTTTGATTCTGCTCAAAGCACAGCTCCATCTGTAACCGAAGAAGATATTGACAATGAAGATGATGCAATGGAACTACTGGGTAACTGCAAAAAATTATGTGTATTTTCTGATTTTTTTATTGTAAGTGTAATACCCAATCAAACATAGATTAGTGTCTCTATAATCTCTCTATAGTCTTTCTATTGAAACTGCTCTCTATATTTGAAGCTGAAGTATCTAGCAGCTGTGTGAAGGTTCATAAGTTTTAGCTTAAAACTTTCAGGAGAAATGTAATGAAGACAATATAGGTGAATAAACTGCCAACTGCATCAAAATCCCATGAAATGTCAAAAGCTTCAGGTGCTTAAAGTAATTAATTTGGTTTTCTTACAATTGCAGGTTCTGCATGTATTTATGTAGAAAGAACAGAATCGGCTTCACTGTCTTTCATCTGGGTCTTCTTTTTCTTAGCTGTATCGAAGTTTTAACCTCAGTGGATTTTATTTGAGACTAACGAGCTACAAATAGCTTATGCAATGTGAATTTGTAACCTCTTCAGAGGATCTGATTGTAAATTTCCACTACACTGTGTATCTTAAATTGTACTGTAGAAGGCTTGATGCTCACTGCTTCGTCCCTTTCCTGGAAGCACTAGTTCTGAAAGGAGGGACATTGTTGAAGAAAATGAATTAATAGTCTCTTTTCTACCATTTTTCAATCTTTCAGTGTAAGATGCTTAAAAAGTAGTCATGAATTTAAGTATTTTTTTCCCAACTTTTACTATATGGAACTCTATGTGGGATCACAGCATGGGAAATCTGTAACTTCTGAATAGGGCAGCATTCTTATGTTTACAAATTCTGGAAAAAATATTTTTTTCAGGTTGGACTTTAATCTAAAAATCAAGAAAACACATGGTACTCTTTTTTTCTGTATATATTTCTGTTGCTTCCTTACTATAGTTTTCATAGGACCACAGAATAGTTGAGATTGGAGAGGAGTGCTGGAGATACCTAACTTGACTCATTGCTCAAAGAAATCAGCTATAGCAGGTTGTTGTGAATGGATTTTGACCATATCTAGAGGTGGAGATTCTACAACATTTCTTTCTATTCCAGTGCTTGACTGTGCTCATCGTAAAAAAGTTTTTATTCTACTTAATTAATTGTGAATTAATACATAAATTCCATAAATTAATACCTTTTCTTTTTTAGTAGTTTAAAGTTTGATACATGCATTTGTTTTACAAGAAAGAAGAAATAATGGGCTGGATCACTCAGATGTCACAGTGTGTCAATTAGTTCTTTGTGTTTGAAAAGTCACAGTGTTTGTGACTGTGGGCTTGCAGTGTTCATAGAATCTGTTGGTATTTCCGGAATTAATCCATGGATTTCAGTGAAGACCATAATTAGTCTCTAGCTGCGTTACCTCCTTATTTCCTTCTTCAGTTTACAGATCTTTCTGACTTTATCAATGTAACATAAAAAGAAAGGTGAAAGGGTGTCTTGTGCTGGTGAAAACCACAGGACTCCTCTAGGATTCTGTGGCATCTGGAAGGTACAGTAGGTGAGTGTGTGTGTGTTCTGTTATTTGCCTCGTTATTTGCCACATACAGGATAGAATCTTTTGTTAACTTTTGTGGAGATAGTGAGAAAAATGTATCCAGTAGATAACATTATATAGGTATAGGTCTTTCCTTCCAAACACTTGAATCCCTGAAGATATCTGGAACCAGGAAGGCAGTATAAAGGAATATGAGGAGTAGGTGTGCTTATAGTGGTTATAGTATGGCCATATTATCGTAAATAGCACTGATAGAAAGTTGAATATACACATCTTGGTGTTGAAAATGCTGTGCCTCTGAAAAACTGGCTTGTATTTTAATTCTCATTTCGCAATTTGTTGACACTATATGTGTTAGGTTTGATATAACGGGTAGGCTACATCCTGCAGAACTGCTCAAAATTGAGGATATGATGGTGTTACATGGGAAAGGTATTTTATTTTCTTTTGAAGGTAACATGAAGAACTTCGGTTTCTATTAGCAAACAGGTATTTTTCATTGCCTTATTTTCCAGGTCAGTAACTGTTTGATACTGAAATGGAATTTTTTTTATAATGTACCACATTAATCTATTAACTGCTTGATGCTTTTTATACTGTTTATATGCAGTATAACTAATTTCAAATCATGGTGTTTTGCCATCACTGAATTTTTGCATATAGCTCTTTGATTTGTTCCCTTTAGAGTTCAGTATTTGTTTATTCAGCCTTTTCTTAAAAATTTACAAAACGTCGTGCAAATAAGTCAAGATTCTGGGAAAAAAATCTATTTACAGCAGATTATTTAAAGCGTACACTACCTATAATGCAGGTTTTTGCAGAACAAAAACTTCCATCTTAATCTGTGTTCAAGAGAACCTTTTTCAGAGTTTGTTTGATTTATTTAGATATTAAAAGAATGAGGCTAACTGTTGGCATAGTTTCTTTTAAAAAACCCATCTCCTAGGACTGCCATCAGAATTGGTAATGAAGATTTTAGCTACAGTGAAACATTCCAAATAGAAGAAACAATTACACTGTCAACCGCTTCAAAAGCAATATATGTGCAAAGATGAAAAAGAATGTTATGGGGCTACATTCTGATTTCAGTTATCACTCTTTATGTGTAAAATAAGATATATAGGAGGGCCATTCACATACTGGCATCTTTCTAAGTATGTTTAGTCAAGCAGGTGGCTGAAATAGATTACTGACAGATAACATCATAGTGGAAAGGATCTTCCTGACTTTAAAAAGCTGAGAACTGTAACTATAAAACCACATGTGTTTGTAAATTTAAAAGGGTAATGCAATTGAGGTCTGTGACTGAAGATTTTATCAAGGGACTCATTTAATGCACATCATAATGCCAAAGTATTGTGTTTTGGAAATCTAATCAGGAGCTGAAGCAATTCCTTATGAAACTCTGCGGCCCTTTTGAAATTGTATGACATTTGGGCTTAAGCTGTCTTTCACATTTGATGAAAGTCCACTGAGACTTTGAAATCATTTTATACCCTCAGTATCTCACTGATGTCCACTGAACTTTTATTTTCCCTGAAATTGCTGTGAATATTGATTGTACCAAAGCATGACTCATATGGTTTTAAAGAATCAGTTGTTTTTTTAAGTGTAAGTATATAATTGTTTAAGTGTACTGCTATGCATAAACGTACACATGGTAAAGTATGAGGTTTTTTGTAGCACAGTTCGACTTAGATATACATTCCTGAGGTTTTTACAAGTAAGGAAGATGAAAAAGACATTCTGTATTGTTTAACACAATATTGATACAGAGAACAAATCCTGTGAGGAGCATCTGATGGAACTGAGGTTGTTTAGCCTGGAGAAGAGGAGACTCAGAGGGAAACCTCTACAACTCCCAGAAAGGAAGCTGTAGCCACGTGAAGGTTGGTCTGTTCTCCCAGGTAACAAGCAATAGGACAAGGCCTCAAGTCATGCCAGGGGAGGTTTAGATTAGATATTAGGAAAAATTGCTTCACAGAAAGGATTGTCAAATACTAAAACAGTCTGCCCGGGGAAGTGGCTGAATCACCATCCTTGGAGGTATTTTGAGGATGTGAGGTGTGACAGAGAGATGTTCGCAATGTTCGTCATACCTGAGTGATGCCTAGTGCAGAATGTCAAACAGATCATCGTCTTGTGCGACGTAAACTTAACTTCCACCTTAAGTTCAAACCTATAAAAGGGGTAGTATTCCAAGGAGGAGACTCCAAGTTAACAATCTTCAAACAGCTACAGTGAGAGACAGCTTCCAGGTAAATCTTCAAACTAGACTCGAAGATCATTCCATAGATCCCTCTCCTGAAGTGCTTTGACAACATATTAAAAATAACATCCTGCAGTCCTCTGAAGAATCCTTAGGGTTCTCTTTCAAGAAAAACAAGGACTGGTTTGATGAAAACAGTGAAGAGATCCAGGAATTGTTGGTAAAGAAGAGAACTGCCTACCAAGCACACCTTGCTCAGCCATCCTGTTATGTAAGAAAAGCAGCCTTTCGTCTTGCATGCAGTAAGCTCCAACAGAAACTTCGAGACATCCAGAACAAGTGGTGGATCAGTCTAGCAGAAAAGATTCAATTATGCGCAGATTCGAGTGATTACAGAGGATTCTATGAGGCTTTGAAAGCAGTCTACAGACCTACACACCAGGTTCAAAGCCCTTTACTCAGTGCGGATGGTCAAATGCTTCTCACAGATAAAATTTCCATTCTGAATCGATGGTCTGAACATTTTCAGACTCTTTTCGTTACCAACCATGTAGTTCAAGGCTCAGCAATTCAGTACATTACACAACAACTGGTGAAAAATGAATTGGATATTGCCCCTACTATGGGAGAAACTCTTAAGGCCATACAGCAGATGAAAACTGGCAAGGCAGCTGGGGTTGATGGAATTCCACCTGGTCTGGAAGCATGGAGGCCAAGCACTCCATGCTAAATTTCATGAGTTCGTGGTGCGTTGTTGGGAAATAGGCAAACTACCATTAGATCTTTGTGATGCAGTCATCATCACTTTATATAAGAAGAAAGGNATGCTATAATTAAAAAATATGATTAATGGCTTTGAGAATAGCATTTGAGAAGTCTTGTTGAGTATCATGGCAAAATCACATTGCCTGTCATATGAGCCAGGAAAAACTCATGGGGTACTGAAATCTCTGGTTTTTAGGTGCGGTAAATGCTAAAGACCTATTGAAAAATATGTATCGTGGGAGTACTGATTTTCAGTGGAAATTAATAACTACTAGATTACATACAGCATATGGATTTACATTTGGATGACTGATTTTATGTCTGAGATAATTCTTGGTTCGTTAGCATTTCATCAGCTTTTGTAAGGCATTTATAAAAAACATGTTTGCAAGTCTTGCAAAAGAATAAATAAAGTTGCAGGACTTCAAGGTAGTGGTGCTACTAAGATTGATGCCAACTATATATGGAAGTTTAAAAGACCTGTGTTGATCAAGGTTAATCTGAATATTTAATAATAGTTCACTAATAACTGGCAGTTGCTTCAAGGTCTAATGCAGTATTCCTGTGAGTTAAAGTGCTATTAGCAGAATTTGGAATTGAGCGTATACCAAATGTGTGAGATAAGTATTAGATAACAATAACTTCATTTTAATGTAACATCCAAAAATAGTGGGAAGAGTATAAATTTTACAAGATTAAGTGAAACTCTCAAATGAGTGAAGTTCTCAGTTGTAAAGAATTTTTGGCTACCTCGTCTGTATTTCATTCACCACTTAGTAGTTAATGTAGCCTAAAATAATTCATTTATACTTTTACCTGGCAAATGAAAGCAGGAGCAATTGGAAATTTACATTAAATGTTTCCAATTGTGTCTTGTTAAATTTTATGTAACAACACTTTAAATAAGAAGTGATAGTTTAAGGATCACTATTTATCAAAATTTATGTGATAAGCCAGCAAATTCTTTAAACTAATCCTAATAATCAGTTAAAGTATAAGAACAAGAAAGTGAAAACTGAAATTGTCCCATTATTTCCAGATAATGTTTTCTTTACCTGTCACTAAACGTAAGGAAATGCTACAAAAATAAAACATTATGTAAATATCCAGAAGATTAGGCGTTGGCAGATCACTGGTCAAGTAACTGCCATCAGTGTCATGTGACACATGTTGTTTTCACAGACCATAGAGTACAAGCTTTTTGGGGAAGCCCTGGGTCCTTACACATTCATTGCATTCTGTAAAGGATGGAATGGACTGCAGGAAGCAGCATATTCCTATGGATCTGTTGATAACATCGATAACATGCTCATTTACAGTATTTGTCTTTTCAACATAAAGCAGATCGTAGTGAATATACGTAGTATGTAATATTTGGGAATTTGTAAGTTGTCTGATTTTCTGTCTTTGCAACCATGATCCTCGTTTTTTGTTCTATTCAGTAGTGCACAGTGGGAAAGAACCACTATTTCCTCCGTAAAAACATACATTCCTGTGATGATGAGCAACAGAAGCAGACATGTTGTGTATTTGAAAGCCGGGTTCAGTTACTCAAGAAAAGAAATTAAAAAAAGGAGCAACTGAAAGGACAGATGTCACTAATGTTTTTCCTGGAAAAGATGGTGTGGCCAGTTTGAGTTGCCATGTTAGGATTGCCTCAGAGGAAAGACTGTGTTTGTTACTGGTTTTGTACTGCTCTCTGTTGCTCCTGTAAGGAAGCAAGGCAAGGTATTAGTAAGTGATAAGAGACCATGGAAAAGTGCTGATGGCAATCCTGCTGGTACTGAGCTCATGTTTCAGAAATTCGAACACCGTGAAAATAGGATTAAACTCATTTTCAAGTCACAGTTGGTAGTTTTCTACATGAAAAATTTTTTGGAGGAATTCTAAGATGCAAGGCTCTTGGGAATCTTCCTCGAGGGATAATGTATGTACACAGTGGGGAATTTGAGTGTTTTTTAATATGATACTCTTTTCTCTTAGAGCCTGAAATGAACTAGAGCTTGCAGAGGCCCCATTCATAACCTGATGCCCTAAACTCAAAGGCCATTCTTCATCTCCAAGGTCCACTTTGCCTTATTAGTGTTTATCTTTGCTGGGGAAATGAACTATTGTTGATTATACTAAATTTCATACGTTGGCTACAGATGGGCCTTGCTGCAACAGACTATAAAAACAATCTGGGGTGGTGTTGATACTCTCATGTGGAGCACCAAATTTCTGTTTGTTGTTTTTATATTGTAAGAAATCAGAAATGGCAAATGGTAGCAAGTCCTGCTTTAGACTGTTCTGCTAACTTCTGCGCATTTCCAGTTCTCTGTTATTTAGGTTAGGGATACAACTCAGCAAATTATGAGAATTGTTATAAATATATAGCCCTTAATTCTGTGGGGTCATGGTAACATAACCACTCAAGGGAGAAGTTCTTTGTTGTCAACTTTGTTGCTATGTGATCAATGCCTTAGCAATACTGATTAGTAGTTGATGTCATGTTGCTCTATATATGTAGCTTATTTAGACTTGATTAATGCCCATAAAGTCAATGGGAAATCTACCAAATTCAGTCAAGACTTTAAATAGGAACTGCAAACACAAACTGACTTAGAACATCCAATGACTGGGGAAGGAGTGAAAACCAGTTGGTTTATGTGTGATCTGATGGTGTTAACCTTCATATCTGGAAGACATCATGGACTACAGTAATTTGACAAAATTGTGACAAATTTTGAAGAGAGCACTAGTAAGAGAAAGTTGTGCTTTCCTCTCTCACAGCTTAAAAATGGAGCCAAAGACCAAAGGACTAAAACATCAACAGCAGCAACATAAGAAACTGCTGGCTGCCATGCTTTCTCAGGACTCCTTTGATTCTGCTCAAAGCACAGCTCCATCTGTAACCGAAGAAGATATTGACAATGAAGATGATGCAATGGAACTACTGGGTAACTGCAAAAAATTATGTGTATTTTCTGATTTTTTTATTGTAAGTGTAATACCCAATCAAACATAGATTAGTGTCTCTATAATCTCTCTATAGTCTTTCTATTGAAACTGCTCTCTATATTTGAAGCTGAAGTATCTAGCAGCTGTGTGAAGGTTCATAAGTTTTAGCTTAAAACTTTCAGGAGAAATGTAATGAAGACAATATAGGTGAATAAACTGCCAACTGCATCAAAATCCCATGAAATGTCAAAAGCTTCAGGTGCTTAAAGTAATTAATTTGGTTTTCTTACAATTGCAGGTTCTGCATGTATTTATGTAGAAAGAACAGAATCGGCTTCACTGTCTTTCATCTGGGTCTTCTTTTTCTTAGCTGTATCGAAGTTTTAACCTCAGTGGATTTTATTTGAGACTAACGAGCTACAAATAGCTTATGCAATGTGAATTTGTAACCTCTTCAGAGGATCTGATTGTAAATTTCCACTACACTGTGTATCTTAAATTGTACTGTAGAAGGCTTGATGCTCACTGCTTCGTCCCTTTCCTGGAAGCACTAGTTCTGAAAGGAGGGACATTGTTGAAGAAAATGAATTAATAGTCTCTTTTCTACCATTTTTCAATCTTTCAGTGTAAGATGCTTAAAAAGTAGTCATGAATTTAAGTATTTTTTTCACAACTTTTACTATATGGAACTCTATGTGGGATCACAGCATGGGAAATCTGTAACTTCTGAATAGGGCAGCATTCTTATGTTTACAAATTCTGGAAAAAATATTTTTTTCAGGTTGGACTTTAATCTAAAAATCAAGAAAACACATGGTACTCTTTTTTTCTGTATATATTTCTGTTGCTTCCTTACTATAGTTTTCATAGGACCACAGAATAGTTGAGATTGGAGAGGAGTGCTGGAGATACCTAACTTGACTCATTGCTCAAAGAAATCAGCTATAGCAGGTTGTTGTGAATGGATTTTGACCATATCTAGAGGTGGAGATTCTACAACATTTCTTTCTGTTCCAGTGCTTGACTGTGCTCATCGTAAAAAAGTTTTTATTCTACTTAATTAATTGTGAATTAATACATAAATTACATAAAATAATACCTTTTTTTTTTAGTAGTTTAAAGTTTGATACATGCATTTGTTTTACAAGAAAGAAGAAATAATGGGCTGGATCACTCAGATGTCACAGTGTGTCAATTAGTTCTTTGTGTTTGAAAAGTCACAGTGTTTGTGACTGTGGGCTTGCAGTGTTCATAGAATCTGTTGGTATTTCCGGAATTAATCCATGGATTTCAGTGAAGACCATAATTAGTCTCTAGCTGCGTTACCTCCTTATTTCCTTCTTCAGTTTACAGATCTTTCTGACTTTATCAATGTAACATAAAAAGAAAGGTGAAAGGGTGTCTTGTGCTGGTGAAAACCACAGGACTCCTCTAGGATTCTGTGGCATCTGGAAGGTACAGTAGGTGAGTGTGTGTGTGTTCTGTTATTTGCCTCGTTATTTGCCACATACAGGATAGAATCTTTTGTTAACTTTTGTGGAGATAGTGAGAAAAATGTATCCAGTAGATAACATTATATAGGTATAGGTCTTTCCTTCCAAACACTTGAATCCCTGAAGATATCTGGAACCAGGAAGGCAGTATAAAGGAATATGAGGAGTAGGTGTGCTTATAGTGGTTATAGTATGGCCATATTATCGTAAATAGCACTGATAGAAAGTTGAATATACACATCTTGGTGTTGAAAATGCTGTGCCTCTGAAAAACTGGCTTGTATTTTAATTCTCATTTCGCAATTTGTTGACACTATATGTGTTAGGTTTGATATAACGGGTAGGCTACATCCTGCAGAACTGCTCAAAATTGAGGATATGATGGTGTTACATGGGAAAGGTATTTTATTTTCTTTTGAAGGTAACATGAAGAACTTCGGTTTCTATTAGCAAACAGGTATTTTTCATTGCCTTATTTTCCAGGTCAGTAACTGTTTGATACTGAAATGGAATTTTTTTTATAATGTACCACATTAATCTATTAACTGCTTGATGCTTTTTATACTGTTTATATGCAGTATAACTAATTTCAAATCATGGTGTTTTGCCATCACTGAATTTTTGCATATAGCTCTTTGATTTGTTCCCTTTAGAGTTCAGTATTTGTTTATTCAGCCTTTTCTTAAAAATTTACAAAACGTCGTGCAAATAAGTCAAGATTCTGGGAAAAAAATCTATTTACAGCAGATTATTTAAAGCGTACACTACCTATAATGCAGGTTTTTGCAGAACAAAAACTTCCATCTTAATCTGTGTTCAAGAGAACCTTTTTCAGAGTTTGTTTGATTTATTTAGATATTAAAAGAATGAGGCTAACTGTTGGCATAGTTTCTTTTAAAAAACCCATCTCCTAGGACTGCCATCAGAATTGGTAATGAAGATTTTAGCTACAGTGAAACATTCCAAATAGAAGAAACAATTACACTGTCAACCGCTTCAAAAGCAATATATGTGCAAAGATGAAAAAGAATGTTATGGGGCTACATTCTGATTTCAGTTATCACTCTTTATGTGTAAAATAAGATATATAGGAGGGCCATTCACATACTGGCATCTTTCTAAGTATGTTTAGTCAAGCAGGTGGCTGAAATAGATTACTGACAGATAACATCATAGTGGAAAGGATCTTCCTGACTTTAAAAAGCTGAGAACTGTAACTATAAAACCACATGTGTTTGTAAATTTAAAAGGGTAATGCAATTGAGGTCTGTGACTGAAGATTTTATCAAGGGACTCATTTAATGCACATCATAATGCCAAAGTATTGTGTTTTGGAAATCTAATCAGGAGCTGAAGCAATTCCTTATGAAACTCTGCGGCCCTTTTGAAATTGTATGACATTTGGGCTTAAGCTGTCTTTCACATTTGATGAAAGTCCACTGAGACTTTGAAATCATTTTATACCCTCAGTATCTCACCGATGTCCACTGAACTTTTATTTTCCCTGAAATTGCTGTGAATATTGATTGTACCAAAGCATGACTCATATGGTTTTAAAGAATCAGTTGTTTTTTTAAGTGTAAGTATATAATTGTTTAAGTGTACTGCTATGCATAAACGTACACATGGTAAAGTATGAGGTTTTTTGTAGCACAGTTCGACTTAGATATACATTCCTGAGGTTTTTACAAGTAAGGAAGATGAAAAAGACATTCTGTATTGTTTAACACAATATTGATACAGAGAACAAATCCTGTGAGGAGCATCTGATGGAACTGAGGTTGTTTAGCCTGGAGAAGAGGAGGCTCAGAGGGAAACCTCTACAACTCCCAGAAAGGAAGCTGTAGCCACGTGAAGGTTGGTCTGTTCTCCCAGGTAACAAGCAATAGGACAAGGCCTCAAGTCATGCCAGGGGAGGTTTAGATTAGATATTAGGAAAAATTGCTTCACAGAAAGGATTGTCAAATACTAAAACAGTCTGCCCGGGGAAGTGGCTGAATCACCATCCTTGGAGGTATTTTGACGATGTGAGGTGTGACAGAGAGATGTTCGCAATGTTCGTCATACCTGAGTGATGCCTAGTGCAGAATGTCAAACAGATCATCGTCTTGTGCGACGTAAACTTAACTTCCACCTTAAGTTCAAACCTATAAAAGGGGTAGTATTCCAAGGAGGAGACTCCAAGTTAACAATCTTCAAACAGCTACAGTGAGAGACAGCTTCCAGGTAAATCTTCAAACTAGACTCGAAGATCATTCCATAGATCCCTCTCCTGAAGTGCTTTGACAACATATTAAAAATAACATCCTGCAGTCCTCTGAAGAATCCTTAGGGTTCTCTTTCAAGAAAAACAAGGACTGGTTTGATGAAAACAGTGAAGAGATCCAGGAATTGTTGGTAAAGAAGAGAACTGCCTACCAAGCACACCTTGCTCAGCCATCCTGTTATGTAAGAAAAGCAGCCTTTCGTCTTGCATGCAGTAAGCTCCAACAGAAACTTCGAGACATCCAGAACAAGTGGTGGATCAGTCTAGCAGAAAAGATTCAATTATGCGCAGATTCGAGTGATTACAGAGGATTCTATGAGGCTTTGAAAGCAGTCTACAGACCTACACACCAGGTTCAAAGCCCTTTACTCAGTGCGGATGGTCAAATGCTTCTCACAGATAAAATTTCCATTCTGAATCGATGGTCTGAACATTTTCAGACTCTTTTCGTTACCAACCATGTAGTTCAAGGCTCAGCAATTCAGTACATTACACAACAACTGGTGAAAAATGAATTGGATATTGCCCCTACTATGGGAGAAACTCTTAAGGCCATACAGCAGATGAAAACTGGCAAGGCAGCTGGGGTTGATGGAATTCCACCTGGTCTGGAAGCATGGAGGCCAAGCACTCCATGCTAAATTTCATGAGTTCGTGGTGCGTTGTTGGGAAATAGGCAAACTACCATTAGATCTTTGTGATGCAGTCATCATCACTTTATATAAGAAGAAAGGAGATAAATCAGACTGTTCAAATTACCAACCTGCACCTCAGGAAGTCTTCCATCATCTCCACATCATCATTGACGAATCAGAGCTCAAATCAGACCAACAGTTTAATTATCTGGGAAGTGTCATCTCCTTGGATGGTAAGATTGGCAAAGAGATAGACAACAGGTTAGCAAAGGCATATAGAGCTTTTGGAAAACTCCATAAAAGAGTTTGGTTCAATAAACTCCTGAAGAAAGCACAAAGATTAGTGTTTACAGAGCCATTGTACTGTCTACTCTTTGATATGGATCCGAATCATGGGTCATTTACTGCCACCACGTGCAACTCTTAAAACACTTCTATCAGCGCTGGCTCCATACAATTCTAAACATCCACTGGACTGATTACGTGACTAATGTGTCTGTTCTAGAACAGGCAGCAGTTATGAGTTTTGAGGCCATGTTGCTTAGGACACAGCTGCGTTGGGCAGGGCATGTCTCCAGGATGGAGGACTACCGCCTCCCTAAGAT